TGATTCCATGAAGGCCGATAACAGTTCGGTATCTTTTCTTAATGGGTATCCAGGCCAGGATTCAGGACCGTGTTCCAGTCCCCTGCCACTATCAAGTTTTCCACGTCTGGTAAATAAGCCGGTAAGTCTGAGAAGAACTTGATTTGTTCCTTATAGTATACTGGGGCATAGACAGTCATAATTGCCCATTCTTCCTGGTTTACAGCCACCTTCACCCAGGCCCAGCGACCCTCTCTGTCAATAAAGTGGTCAATAACATCGACTTCTAGATTTTTATCTATTAGGATACTAACTCCACCCTTCGTCCCCTCTGCCGGGGACCAGAATTGTGGGCCCTGCCACCAGTTACGTAGGTTAGTCACCCTCTCTGCATGTAGCTTTGTCTCTTGAAGACATAAAATTTGAACTGATTGATTATGAATCCAAGCGCGCAGTCTTACGTTCTTATTTCTTCCTGATGTGTCTCCCATTCCTCTGAAATTCCAAGAAGCCAAGCGGATCTTAGGCGGGAGGACCATTAACATGGTCGGACCCGCTGGTTTCTTAGATGTGGAGGGACGGTACAAGCGGTGCCTGCACTACACCAAAACACAGAGATTTCAGGTTGTACATGAACTCCTCAGAGGACAAGACCTCGTGTGGGTTTGAGTTTGGCACAGAAGCAGCCAGCCATCTTGCTACTTCATTGGCTGAGAAGTCTACTGCCAATGAGATGCTGCAGATTGAGTCATTATCTGGTATAGTAAGATCTGAAATTGGAATCCATTGTGCTCTCACTGTGCTCCATTTACAGAAATCGTCCGTCATTGAAACTATTTCAAGGAACACACAGTGCAGGGCTACCTTTGACCCTTCTGCCTTACTAGCAATATGACGGCCCATTTTAGGACAGGGCAGAATACCGCATTGGAAGGAGTTGTCAACCACATGGGTAGACACTAATTCCAGAATTTGTTCCGCTGTAGGCGGGCCTTTTACCCTGACTGACGGGAGCTCCAATGTTTCATTGTTGTTCTTCCACGTCATCAAGGTAAGGGGCCTTGTATCGAGTCTGCTACAATAATCGGGACCAGAAATTGGGGAAAGGAACCTTTCTCTTTGTCATCTCTGGTCAAGGAGGCCATCGGCAAAGCAGAGGAAAGTAGCGTTTTCCCTGTTCTGCCGTTATGACCTCTTTTCCTGGAACCCCCCACCCCTCCCTGGTCCAGCGCCCCTCGTTCATCATACCCGTTGTTCCCTCTACCGATCCGCGTGTTGTCGTTTGCCAGCATCATCTTGGTTGGGGAATCAAAGGATGGAAGGGGTGCATTCCCCTTGTCAAAGGAAAATTCTGGACAGTTGGAAACTCCAGGCACAATAAATTCTAAACTTGGAATCTTATCCGTCAGGGCCTCTGTGCTATGTAAGGCCTTGTTTAAATCCAAGTCTTTTCTGGTCCCCCTGAGAGGTGAAGGGGGTGATTGGACTCTTTTCGTCGTCAGTCCCTGATCCTTTAGTTACTTCTCAACTAAAAACAGTCTCGGGTTCATTTCTCTTTTGGCTGGCGCCTCCAGCCATTGTGGTCCGTTAGGCCGAAGCCCATCAGTCACAGGCGTTAACGGGAAACGCCCGCGGCCGATGTATGGGCCAAGTACTGGTGTTTTTTTTTTATTGTCATTATAGTATTACGGGGAACCCCGTAGCAGCCACAACCGTGCTCAAGCCTCCAACGAGGGAACATGCAGGAGCTGCACCCACCAGCAGATGCCTGCTACAGCAGGTGGGCAATACCGGCCAGGGGTCAGCCGGTAGCATCAGGACCGAGCTTCTTCGATGGGCCAGTCACTGTGCCTTCCCTACGGCCCCCTCCCCCTATGAACATCAGCAGTCTCTGCTCAATGCCAGTCGGGGGGACCAACGGCATATCTCTAGGTGGTGGGCACCAAGCTTGCCCAGGAAGGTGCATGAGGCCAATGGGGATTGAACCCAAGACCTCCTGAATGCCACTCGCATGCCTTACCAACTGAGCTAGGGCGCTGGATAAGTACTGGTGGTTTAATAGGCTAGAGCTCTGAGCTAAATGGACGTTGGTAGTACTCAGCTGCTATCTCCTTTTTTTGCCCTTTTGGGGAAACCTTTGAAAGGGACATTGGACCCGGTTTCCAGTTGGTTCTGTTCCGGGTTGAATTGTAGGGGTGATTCCCGGGCCCCAGTGTTTCTGATGGAATATAATGTTTTCGCCCCCAAAAAATAAAAAGAATAAAAATAAAAATAAAGCAAGGAGCCTTGTCCAAGTACCTAGGGTCAGATCCCACTACCCTGGATTAATTATTCAGTTTTCACCCTCGAAGATCAACGGTCAGGAATGAAAAATAGGGGGTAGTGGGATCTGGCCCTTAGTCTGTGAGTTGGACTAGGTTCCTGTAGAATTTTGGCATGCAATCCCGTTTCTGTGCGGGGCGGGATCTTTTGGATGTTTTGAGGCGGCGCGGTTGAATCACTGCCGCCGTGAACCGTTTGGCTTCGACGGCACAATGGGCCCGCACCGCCGCCGAGCAGCCCATCGACGAGTAGATCCCTTTTTCTACAGATTGGGCGGCAAGACGCGCTGACTTTTTGAGCGCCAAAGCGAAAATTAAGGCAGATCCATTCGTTTTACGGTTCGTCTTGTCTTGAACGCGATCCGAGCCTGAGGGCCCCGCCGCCCCACTCACGAAGTGCATAATAGATATAAAAGAAATATGACGACGTATCTACCCATTTATACCGGAAAATTCGTTCTCATTTTGCACATTTGGAGGGTTGTGCGGCTAGGCGCCGAATCGTATCTCCAGGTTCGGGATCAACTGAACGCGTGAGGCAGTCCAGCTGGAGTAGAGCAGTTCGTTTATGTTGACCGAAAGTTTGGTGCCGCGCCCTTTAGGCTTACCTCTAAGTTTTGATACACAGCTCACGGGCTCGAATCGTGCCGCCCTGAGATTGGTACAATAATAACGTTTCGGAAGGGCTACCCGCTTCAAAAAGAAAAAACCTTGGCGCCGCCTTATCATTTCGTTCTCGACACGTGTTCCCAAGGAATTCACGGCGGCAAGTTTCGGTGCCGGAATAGGCGTACGGTTTTCGGTGTTGTTTATTTGTTTTGATTTACTGCGTCACTGTTTCGTCTTATTGACAGAGCGATGGTCTTCATTCGCGCTTGTCCATTTGGTACTAGAAAATGACGACGTCGTTTTCGAAGGGGCTGGTGAATTTTATATATACCTGTTTTGTTCACGCCCGTGAAAGAGAAAAAAAAGTGTTGTGTGGGCCCTCTTTGTGGCCGTCACAGTGGTCTTCCCCGCAGCGTCTGTGTGACGATTGGCAGAAGGATTCGGTGCACTTGAGGCCTCGTCGCACTACTCGCCATCCGCCAACACATTTTGATTGCATGTGGACATCATTTAGTCCAGGTGCATTAGAAATCTTGGCGGATGGCGAGCAGTGCAACCAGGGCCTTGGTTTGGTGCGAAGGATTTGAAAGCTGCTACGGCAGTAGTAGTCGGTCGGCCGGTGGGGCAACTCGGGAGGGTCGTTGACCACAGTCCACTCGAGCCGAACGTTCATTTCATCTCGGCCGCCTGGAGTGAAAAGAGGAGGACAAACTATAGAGGCGGTTCACTGTAGAGGCGGTTCAAGCAAGTGGGTTTTGGAGGCACTCGCTCGTGCGTTCTTTTGACGGAATCTGGGCGCGTTTGAGGCTTAGATACGTCCGTAAAAGTCGTCGAGTGGCAGGGGAGTTAGAATAGAAATGAAGACATGGCGATCGTAGCATGGCCTGCCATCGGCGTGTTGGGCCTCTCCGTATGAACGGTGGTGGCTTATGGACGTGCACGAGGACGGTCTTACGACCAGATGAGTGCTTTGGTTACGTGGGCCTAGATCTGCCGTGCTTCCAACACCGTTCGATGGGGTCTATCATTGGACTGCCTAGACTACAGGCAAAGAGCGCCCTGCCAACAATTGAGACGAGAGAGTGAGCAACCGCGTTTCGGATGTTGAGCGGCTGCGCTGGGCGTGTCGTACAGTGAACAGGCGGTTTTCGGTGAAGTTGACTTTTTGGCGGACGGGAGGGTGGAAGTGATGTGGTGCGGCAGGCGGAGTGCGCGGGGAGGGAGAGGTGCTGACGTATAGGCGAACGCTGTTTCTTGAAGAAACGATAACGGGCTAGCAACTCTCCGGTTCTCAAGACCAGGACAGTGGGATGGAAAATGATTGTGATCCGACAAAGTGTCGCCAGGCAGAATAGTGTATTGGGACGCGCAGTGGATTTGTGCATCAGTCTTTTTGGGCAAATACCGTGGATCTGACCAGATACTGTCAGAAGAGATTGCACGGACGGGTTTGGTTCCGCTGATCATCCGTCGCGGAAAAGACGGTCTTTCTACGAGGTACACTGAGGTCGTATGCATCTCCTCTCGATCTGTGTGTCTGGGTGTGTGTGTGTGTGTGTGTGTGTGTGTGAGAGAGAGAGAGAGAGAGAGAGAGAGAGAGAGAGAGAGAGAGAGAGAGAGAAGGTGGTTGAATTTTTGTGATTCTAGTGATCAGTAACGAAGGGAGAGTAGTAGTGTCGATGGTGAGGGAATCTGCGGTGCTGCAGTTATGCGTTTGTAGTTGTTTGTCTTGTCTGCGGGGGCTGGGATCCGAATATTATAGGGTCTCTGTGTGGTAAAGCTGCTGGGATTGACTGATCCAGAAGTCTACAAGAAGTGGGCGAAATGACTTTGTACAAGGAAGACGTCGGTGACATAAAATTGTATGAATGGCTGTGTGAGTTATTGGGAGGTAGGTCCGTTCTATCTGCGTCGCTGTTGCGGGCATGTACGCCGAAGTTGTTGCACTTACAGAAGCATGTGGTGGTTTGTGTGCTCTATGTCAGATTTGACAGCAAGAAACGTCTGTCGGCCGTCGGAGCAGAAGACAGCGACCTTCCTTTGTATATGCCATCGTCGTTCCTAATCCTGGAGGGGACCTAGCGGTCGAATGGGGTGCTTCTACTTGTTTTAGAAGAGAGAGAGAGAGAGAGAGAGAGAGAGAGAGAGAGAGAGAGAGAGAGAGAGAGAGAGAGAGAGAGAGAGAGAGAGAGAGAGGCGCCACTGTGTTTGTGTTTATGAAGTGGGGAATTGATCCGGCTTGTTGCAGGGCTTAAAAGCTCGGCTTGAATGTGTTTTACTGCCTTGGAAGGCGAAAGAGGGGGTGGAAACTCTCGGAAGAGGGAGAGAGCTGACGAGGCAGGCGCTTCGTTGGCAGGAGCGAGTGGATCTAGGAGGATGGTGATGGCCGCAGGCGGCCACGAGGTTCATCACAAGCACAGACGATCACTTAGCGATATGAACTTGCCGTCGACATTGCTTTCGCCCCGAGCGACTCCTGGATCGCCCATGGATGTCGAGAGTGCGCTTGGGGTTTATCAGAAGGGAGTTGTGAAGGCAGGAGGGGTAGGTGGCTTCCCTTCGCCCACAAAGAGTATGGCTGCAGGACTCGTGCTCAATGTTGCCAATGGGGGAGGAGGATGTGATGCTAAGGGTTCGATCGATGGCGGCGGCGAAAGTATTGTCGGGAGAAATGGCGAGCGGGCTGGAGCGAGCAGCGTGGGAAACGCTGCGTGTGTTTTTGCGAATGGGGTTGGCGGCGGGAAGACGGCGCCCTCTGTGCGGAATGGCAGGGCTCCTCTGCGGTCATTGCTGATTGTGCGGCCGTCATCGATGGCCAAGCTGGAGGTGGCCTCTCCGCGTACGAGGATGTGGATAGAGGGGAACAATGTGGATCGGCAAGTGGGAGGAGGTGGGTACCGAATCCCTCTCTCGCCGCTTGCCCTTAGGCGTGAGGCCAGCTGCCTGGCTCGCGGTGTAGTAGGTGTTCGTGCTGGTGTGCAGCTAGATCTGGCCACGTTGGCGCGCAACTGTGATGTGGGGTGCGGAGAGCTGTCGGAGCTGAAGATGCGGCGAGATAAGATGGCGTTCTTCGAGAAGCAGTGCTCGCGTGTGACGGATCATATCTACGTGGGGAGTGATTTCGTTGCGAGGAACAGGGAGACACTGAGAGCGGCGGGAATTACGCATGTGCTAAACTGTGTGGGCTTCGTCTGCACGGAGTACTTTCCCGGAGATCTCAAGTATAAGACGCTGTGGCTGGAAGACACACCGGGGGAGGACATTCTGTCCATCCTTTACGATGTGTTTGACTTTCTGGAGGAAGTGAGGGAGATAGGAGGACGGGTATTTGTGCATTGCTGCCAGGGAGTTTCAAGATCCACGGCGCTTGTGATCGCTTACTTGATGTGGAAAGAGGGGAGGAGCTACGATGATGTTTTCCGAGATGTGAAGACTGCTCGTGGAGTGACCAACCCGAACATGGGTTTCGCGTGTCAGCTGCTTCAGTGGCAGAAACGTGTTCTTGGTGGAGTAGGAGTAGGAGTAGGAGTAGGAAGAGCAATAGGAGGAGGAGGAGGAGGAGGAGGAGGAGGGAGTCCGCGTTTCTTTCGGATCGCGCCTCATTCTCACTACGACCCTCTTCATCTAGTCCACAAGCTTGTCCCGAAGGCTGGCGTGGAATCGCTGGACACTCGGGGGGCTTTCTTGCTGGCCGATCCTACGGGGGGTCTCTTCGTTTGGAAAGGGACGGAATGCCCTGGTGTGATCGCAATGGCAGGAGAGAAGGCAGCGAAGCAGATGATGAAGTATGAAAAGTTGGGAGGACCCGTCCGATTTGTGAACGAGGGGGAGGAGATGGCGGAGTTCTGGGCGGCGTTTCGCAATGCATCGTCTTCTCCGTCTTCCTTGTCAGCTTCTCCGAGAGTGGGAGTCGGGATCGGGAGCAGACTCCTCAGGGTTCCTGCCTATGACGCCGATTACGATGCGGTCGCCGAAGCCCTGAGTCATCTTGGGAGCGAGCAAGTAGTCGCGGCGGAGGCACCTGCTGCGCAGACCGGCGGGACTGGGGTGCGCCGAAGGGGKTGGAACGATGTCTCCGTGTACATCGCCCAGGTGGAGTTCTGCAATGGTGAGGGCTTGACGCCGTCGAGAAGCTATGGAAAGAACAACGATTGGGTGGGGAAGAGAGGAGGGAGTAGTGAGAGTGTGGACAGAGGTGGTGGGATGGCTATCGAGACGGAGACATCGGCGGTGGCTGTCGTGAGCTCTTCATGCGAAGCCGCCGGCGTTATGGAGGGAGGGAAGGGGAACGGATCATGCTGCAGTTCTCCGGGAACCAGCGGGAGGGGCGGGATCGGGAGGGGGAAACGTTCCGAAAGGAGGGGGGAGGAGGACAGGGAGAATAGTTGCAAGGCCCTGCGAAGGGGTTTAGACGGAGGACCCGAGTCACCCACAATGTCTCAGAGGAGGAGATTTGAAGAGTCTAGCACCACCACAGTGGATTCCGAGAGGAGAGGTGTTGGAAGTGGGGGTGTGCAAGAAGATGATCGGAGAGCGAGGGAGATGGCTGACAAGAACCCCGTGGAGGGAGGCACGGCTATGGTGGAAACTGCGTCGACGCGGCAAGTAGGTGTCGAAGAATGTGTCTCGACGGCCAGGTTAAAAAAAGTGGGAGGGGAACAGAGGGAGGAAATGGGAGGAGAAGAAGACAAGGCCGCATCCCCTTCGGCCAGATCAAAAGCGGTGAGGAGGGGGGGGGCGGGGGGGGGAATTGGACGAGAAGAAGACAAGGTCGCATCCAATTTGAACAATGGTGCCCTTTCACGGTTGTTCGAGTGGCCGTCCAGAGACGAGGTTCACGGCTTTGGCGCGGATGTTTTGCAGTCACACAAGGTGTTCGTGCTCTGGATTCTGAGGCCCCGCGGAGAGGAGGCGGCGGAGGGGAGAAGCGAACTGGTGGTGTGGGTGGGCGGTGAGTGCAGTAGTAAGGCCAGTGACGTGGAGGATAGTCAAGAGGTAGAGGAAGAAGAAGAGCGCAAGCACGGCCGCCTCGCCTGGGAAAGGAGATGGTGGCGAGCGGGTGACGAGTTCCGCTTGTGGAAAAGCGTTCCCGAAGGAACATGCATTCAGGTACGCAGCTGTTCATCACGATGAGCACTCCCTCCTCGCTTGAGGTATTACTAGTTTGATTTAAGCGTTTAGAAAGCCGTGTGTTCATGGATGCCTTTGCTTGGCGGTGGGTGTCTTCACAGGTGCATGCTATCAGGTGGGGGGAGGGGAGAGAGAGAGAGAGAGAGAGAGAGAGAGAGAGAGAGAGAGAGAGAGNGAGAGAGAGAGAGAGAGAGAGAGAGAGAGAGAGAGAGAGAGAGAGAGAGAGAGAGAGAGAGAGAGGCTGTAGGGAGAAGAAGAGGAGTGGGGACTTGTAAGGAAGTAGGGGAAGTGAGAGAGAAGTGAAGGAGGAGGAAGAGGCAGTAGGGAGAAGAAGAGGAGTGAGGACTTGTAAGGAAGTTGGGGAAGTGAGAGAGAAGTGGAGGAGGAGATAATGGATGCCAGGACAATGAATATGGAAGCTGGTAATTGGGGTAGCGTGAGGGAAGAGGAGAGAGGGAGGTCGGGGGGCATAGAGAGCCGATTTTTCTGTCTCTGTTTGCTGGCGTTTTTGTTTGAAAGGGTAGGAAACGGAGGGAGAGGAAGTGGACGGACGGAAGATCAGGGATGCAGAGAGGCAGGATGATAGAGAGAGCAATGTTGAGAGAAAGAGAGCGGAGAGGGAGGCAGAGAGTAGGAGAAGAGTGAGATCAGAGGGTGATCGATTGGGTATTGAGGGAAAGAGAAGGGAATCGCCGGCCTGTAAGAGATGGAGGGAGAGAGGAGGAGAAGAAGCCGGCATTTCGCAGATAAAGGGCGTGGGAAGAATGGCAAGGGGGGATATTGGGGAAGAGTGAAGGGAAGAATTAAAAAGAGAGCGAAGGGGAGAGAGAAGAGGGCATCTAGGGTCGGGAGTGTCTGTGCTGTCCAGGTTATTCGAAGGGGGGAATTCGGCCCTCTGTTGGGGGTGATGAGGACGACGTTTGTGACAGCTATGTCATGGAACGTGTGAGGTGACGAGTTCAAACTTCCAACGTCAACAGCGAGTGGAAATTCGAGTCTGCTTTGTCGTTGAAAAAAAAAAATAAAAAAAAAATCGAGTCTGTTTAGTCGTTGATCCCTTTTGCTTCCGTTGTCTTGATTCAGCTTCAGCTTCCGTTCTCTTCATTCAGCTTCGATCTTATGCTGTCGGGGGGACCTGGCCTGCTGGCCAGGGGGCGTACTGTGTCTCCTCCCTGCAGTTGGCGCTTGCAGGCAGCTCATCTTCGTCCACTCTGCTGCTAATGTTGGGGAGGATTGTGTGTCTGTTTTGCCTGAATGGTACTCATATCTGACTACTGATAAATAGCTCAGGAGTTTGAGTCCTGTCCAATGCATAAGCGTTATTAGCTACCTACCCCCTTTCAAACAAGAAGAAGTCGAAAATGCAGAAAGACTTCCACCAAGCCAAAAAGCTTTGTTGCCTTGACTACAGTAGTGCCCCTCTTATAACTCACAATGGGATGCTTTATTTTTCGCTTTTTTTTTTGTAATGTTAAGCTCCAATTCTTTTCTTCGAATATCCTTTTTAAGCACAGATTCGGAAAAGAAACGAGGCTCGTCGGAAGGAGTACTAAATCTGCCATTCCCCCACCTTTGCCCGTTGTTGTCGTGTCGTGTCGTGTGCTCCTGGGTGCACTTCTTTGCCTACGGCATGTGTTTGGGCTGTGCATGAACAGGTGGTTGAAGAAGGAAAGGAGCCGGATGATTTCTGGGCTTACTTCAGTCAGTAGGATTTGATCTCCTGCATTCTGGTTTTGGATGCAAGGGCGAAAGACTCGGCATGGCTAACTCGAGATCGGTCAGCGGCGAGCCGCGTGGAGATGCATTGCTGATTTTGTGTCCAGCAGGAGAAGGTTGCTATGGTATCCCGGCGCAGTCCCATGATTGGAGCACTGAGCGGAAGGACGATGGGATCCCGGCACAGTCCCCCCATGATTTCGAGCATTGAGCGGAAGGGTTTTGCGATCCCGGCACAGACAAGGCCATGATTGGAGCATTGAGCGGAAGAAGAGTCATAGCCTTGACTGACTACATTGTTTTTCGTTGGGGCTGGCCCAAGTGAGTCCGGTCGTTTTT